AACAGAGGTTTAAGAAGGGTAATACGAGATAAGAGGAAAGTTGGTCTTGCTTTGTTCTGGTATGCTTCTCTTGAGTTCTGTTCGGGCCATTGTTGGCATAGATTGTGCAGATATAGCTTTATGGGCATGGATTGGCGTTACACTCTGTGGTACATGGGCCATAACAAGAGGCTAACTTAAAATAAGGGTGCAGAGCGGTTATCATGGCTTTCGAGGGGTTAAAAGGGCTAAAGAGGGGGTCACGAGAAAATAAGCCTCCTATTTGTATGTATTGGCATAATAGATTGATTGGGCTTTCAACGTCCAGGTATGTGGGGTCATAACGCCGTTTTCAATTAATAGGGCTGCAAAGCAGTTATCAGGGGCTAAGAGGGGCTAAGAGCGCCTAAGAGAGCACCTAAGAGGGCTTAGGAGGTGGTTAAAAGGAGGTAAAAGGGTTCAAGAGGGATGATGCCGGACCAAAAACTGTTCATAGGGGTGGGGTTCACAGGGCGAGTTAAAGGGGCTCAGGCTCTTCAGAGAGAGATGGTGAACTGATTGTTGCTGATTTGACGAGTAAGACCACAGGATAACAGACGCTTTATAAACTTCTACGAGCCAACACCGTACCCATAAGAAGTTTATTAAAAGGCCTGTTCCAATAAAACAGACAAAAAAAAAGGCAGGAAAAAACTAAGCAACAAGAAGGCGCAAATTTTGATCTTATAACCTGGGTGCGGTTCCGGGACGCCCGGCGGACCGGCGGGGGCCCGGGTGGGGTCCCAGGCGGCCTGGCCGGGCAGTGCACCCGGTCGGTCCCCATGCCCCCCCAGCGCACAGGGTAGTTCGGGGTTTTTCGACCCCATTTCGAATGCTGGTGGGCTCCCGCAGGCCTACCGGGTCCGACCGGCCCGAAAACCCGCGGCATCGGGCATGATAGGCCTGTGGGAGTGGGTTTGAAAATTGCGGCGGGTCTGTGGCCGTTGATCCGCCTTGATCGACGGCCACGGAGCCATCGCAAGTTTCCCGCCCAGATTTGAATGGCGGCGATCTTGCCCGCAGCCCGTCCGCGGGTGTTCGCTGGAGCTGCCCCCTTCGACCCGCAGCCTTTCGAAGTTGCACCGCCCGTTGTTGTTCGCTGGAGCTGCCCCCTTCGCCCGTCATTCGTTGTCGCCGTTCGCAGGAGCTCGTCTTCCGCGCCCGCCGTTCGTCGTCGTCGTCAGCTGGAGCCGGTCGTCGTCGCCCGTAGCCGTTTGCAGGAGCTGCCCCCTTCGCCCGTCGCCGTTCGCAGGAGCTGCCGCCATTCTTCTTCTTCTTCTTCTACTTCTGCTTGTGTACCGTGGATGTTGGTTAGGTCGCGCGAGACTCGGAAGGTAAGAAAAACAGAAGGGAGGCCGTCAGGCACGTCGAGCCTTCTTCTTCTTCTTCTTCTTCTTGCATCAGTCGACCTTCGGCAGTTAACGACAATCTTTATCTTCTTCGGCCTTTTGGCTGTTTGGGGCAGGGCACATCTTCGGCGACCTTAGGCAGTTGTCGTGAACGACGAACAGAAAAAAAAAAAAGGCCGTCCTCCTCCCCCTCCTCCGCTCCTCTTCTCTTCTTCTTGTTCTTCTTCCTTCTTCTTCTTCCTCCTTCATCGTCCTCCTCCTTCCTCCTCCTTCTGCCTCCTCCTTCTTCCTTCTTCCATCACATCTTGCCATCCATCCATCCCATCGCGCCATCCATCCCGTCTTCCTCCTCCTTCCTCCTTCTTCCTCCTTCCTCCTTCTTCCTCCTGCTTCTTCCTCCTTTCTCTTCCATCCCATCTCGCCATCCATCCCACCATTCCATCTCGCCACCCATCCCACCATCCCATCTCGCCATCCATCCCACCATTCCATCTCGCCACCCATCCCACCATCCCATCTCGCCATCCAACCCTTCTTCCTCCTCCTCCTTCCTCCTCCTCCTCCCTCCTCTTTCCTCCTTCTTCCTCCTTCTTCTTCCTCCTTCCTCCTCCTCCTCTTCTTCTTCTTCTTCTTCTTCTTCTTCTTCTTCTTCTTCTTCTTCTTCTTCTTCTTGTTGCATCAATCGACCTTCGGCAGTTAACGACGATCTTTATCTTCTTCGGCCTTTTGCCTGTTTGGGGCAGGGCACATCTTCGGCGACCTTAGGCAGTTGTTGCCAACGACGAACGGAAAAAAAAAAGGCCATCCTCCTCCCTCTCCTCCGCTCCTCTTCTCTTCTTCTTCTTTTTCCTTCTTCTTCTTCATTCTTCTTCTTCCTCCTTCATCGTCCTCCTTCCTCCTTCTTCTGCCTCCTTCTTCTTCCTTCTTCCATCACATCTTGCCATCCATCCATCCCATCTCGCCATCCATCCCTTCTTCCTCCTCCTTCTTCCTCCT